CACTGTCAGAGACCAGTCTGATCCTGTTACAAACTGGAGAAGCAGGGCTGGCCCCAGCTGGACAGAACTGGTTTTCATCAGGAAGCATCAGCACATTAAAAATCAAAGCTTTGGTTCAGGAAGATCCTCCTGTCAATGGAACCAAATGAGTTCAGAGGCACAAGATAGGGCTCTGAGCAAAATGGCAAGATCTTCACAGCACTTCCTCCCCTGAGGCGAGACACATGTTCAGGTCCTACTCAGGCAGCCCTGTGCAGCGTGGCTTGATGCCCAAACCACTGGTAGAGAACTCTCCCACGGAGCTCCTACAGCCTTCACAAGTAATTAGGCATTGACTGGAATGAGAATATCTTCCGTAAGGCAGCAGAGCTTTATGGATCTTCCATACCAGATGCCTTTAACCACTAGCCTCGCTGTCTCTAATCACTGTAATCACCTGCCTAGGACTTCTCTAAATCAAGTAATTAACTCTAGAATTTCCAATTAGTGTTAAAACCTTTATTTAAAAAAAAAAAGATTTCACCAAGTTGTCACAGTAATTCTGCTAAGTTTACTGCCCTTTTATCATGAGTAGTACTTGATGGTATCTTTACTTGGTTCTTTAACTTCAGTTAATGCTATTTGTAAACATAAGAGATTGTCACTCATTCATGTAATTTGACTAAAATTATACTAGAAAAAAACAGTAACCAGGTATCTTCATACATGTTGTTTGTAGTCCAAAAATAGCATCTTGTTAATGTTAAAACAAGTGTCAGTCTGACTCTGTTATTTTAGCAAACTTTAAACATTGCCATTTTATGAGTACTTTTTTTGGGGGAGGGGTGACTAATGCACACAGTCGTGTAGCGGTCTGATTCATTTTGCTACACGAATTCCCATGACAGTAGGTTTGTTTTAACAAACGGATCATATCAAATCCTGTCAGCCAGACTTTGGGGAGGGGAAGGTACTCTCATTAGCAGCAGCACCACCACATGCATCTATACATTGCTCTAGTGATAGACTCCCACTTGACCTCTCAGAATAGTGTTCAATCTCTAGGTCGTCATTATATGCTGGTAAGAAGGTATGAAAGTGCAAGGTAAAGCCATTTATTCAGAGAGTCAGGTAGATTTGAGTCATACCAAGATAATCAACCAACAGATGAGTAAGAGAAACAGAAGGTACAGAAATGTACATGAAGGTACATAGCTCAAAAATGTCAATTTTGCTATTTAAAGTGTTATTTTCCGATAAGCACAACAGACTGCAACAACATGGGACACCAAGAGAGAAAGCAAGACATGAATAGCATTAGAAAAGGCAAATGGATAGAGACTGAGAAGAAGCAGTTACTACATGTACTAGAAAGGCAAAAAATGAGCAGGGGCACAAAAGTAGGAATCCGTCAATGAAGGCACACATGCCCTCTGGCTTGGTTAGCCCTTGGTAACAGTTAAAAGGGGGTCCGATTACCAGTCTGCCCATCTCCTTCCCTCCCTTTGATTATAACACCTGCCACCCTTGCTTAAATGTTAAACAAAGATAAAAATAAGAATGGATAGGAGACTACAGCAATACTGTTTGTGCACAGTTATTCCAGTCTCTCTTGTCTTTGCTGCCCATCTAAGCATCAGTTAGTTCCCCTCCATGGAAGGATAAGAGGGAAAGGAGATCCATACAGAGGAGATGAAAGAGCTGACAAAATCCAATCCTCTATCATAGAATCATAGAATGCTTAAGGTTGGAAGGGACCTCTAGAGATCATCTAGTCCAAGCCCCCTGCACACGCAGGGTCACCTAGAGCACGTGGCACAGGACTGCATCCAAGCGGGTTTTGAAGATCTACAGAGAAGGAGACTCCACAACCTCTCTTGGCAACCTGTCCAGGCCTTTATCAACTCCCTCATCAGCAAACAAGCTGTCCTCAAGCTTTGACAGAAATGAACTTATGTTCTGCAGTGTTCTAACAATTTCAGGCTAGTTTCTGTCTCTTGACACGGTATCTAAAAATTTCCACTCTGCACAGCAATTGCTGTAATAATAACAATACTTACATTTCATTATTTAACCTCATGCTATTCCTTCATGAGGATTAGTGCTTAATTAATTAATAACACTTAGCATTTCCACTTAGCATTCTACCTCTTCAAAGCATCGTACAGACAATATCTAATTAATGGCAGAGCTCCACAGACACTTCACATCAGGACTTTCCTTTGGCAGTTCTGCATCCAAGACTTGCTCTCATGGTATAGAATGAATCAAAGCAAAAGCCCTATTGATTTCATCAGGTAATGTCCTGGATATCAAATGACTATCCTTGCAAATTATTATTTTTTTCCTGCTTGTTCTGTCTGCTTACTATGCATCCAAGGATCTAATTATTGGCTAATATGATGGGTGATAATGTGAACCTTTTATTAGTGTTATCTACAAAATTTATTCTTCTGCCAGTGAAAATCTTGTTCTCAGTCACCTGGTTGAACTGCCTTTAGATGGAAAATGTGTTAACCACCAGAATAGATTATAAGATGTCAAGCCAGAGTTTTTAAGGGAGACGCTGCTTTCAATCCATCAGTCAAATGCCTGCTATGAAAGTCCCTTTCTTGTAAGCACCCCAGGGTGCTACACAACATCAATAGGCAATATAAACACAGAGCTTTTATGGTTCACTTTACAATTGGACATTGACTCTGAATCTGTGAAATGGAAAGGAATTGAATTTCATGACCAAGGAGGATAATGTGCACAGGATTAAGTAGACAACACTAGTAGGAGCAGCAAAGCAATACGGCTTTGGATGCTGGTAGGGAGATTAAACCTACAAATAGGAAACCAAAGGTATAAAACAATTTTTTAGTTTAGTAAACTCTCACAAACCTGCAGTAGTGCTCCACACCTCATATTAATCCAATATTTTTTTCAAGTGATCACACATGCTGATGGGCTTATTCAAAGCCCACTGATTGATAACAGTGTGTGAAATGCTAACTGCAGTGTCTTTGGGCCCAAAATATGCTTGTGACAGTGTTTTTGCAAACTTCATAAATCACAAGAGTTTAAAATAAAACCCAAGCCTTATTATCCCTTAGTATAATTTTATTCAAACTGCAGATGGATCAGACCCTTATGGCCAGACTCAGCGCCGAGCTGAGTGTCTGATGCCTGCCCTGGACTCTTCCGAATGTCTCTATTTGGACTGTATGAGCTCTAGTACCTACATTTCATCTTTTTATACAGCTTCATCTTCCATTATCCAATATTTCCTTGCCACCAGGTACCACTGTCCTGTACTTTCTTATCTCAGACACCAAATATTCTAGACAGCCCCAACCAACCATAATCTATGTTCTCTAGCACTAGGTCATTCTCCATCCCTTTCACCACCTAAGGCCCATTGCAGCCTGCCTACAACCACTGTCCAGCCCCATCTGTGAGAGTCTTGCTCCACTGACTGTTGCTGATGTTTATAGTTACATGCAAATCATGAAAATCATTCTAATTGCTTCCTAACAAGTTTGCTAAAAGGTAACACTCAAGACAAAACTGACAGCTGTGGTCACTGAAGTTCAGGAAAAGATAGTTATTCGTTAGCACATGCGTTGGATCAGGCCATTAACAAACACATTAGGAAGCCACCACAGGGGATGATTGCAGTTATTATGTAGGTGGCTGTGCTTCTGTTCGGAGCACAAGCCTGTCACACAGCCCCTTGGGAACAGTTCTGTATTCACATTTGCAGTGCCCACGTGTCTAAGTGCCTGTGTCTCTGGGGAATACACGGTGAGGTATTTCCTGACAGGGTCATCGTTCCCTACTGGAACTATGTTGGGTGCAGGTCAAGATGAAATCAGAGACAATCTGGACAAAAGCCTGATATTTAAAAGGCAGATTCCCCACTCCACTGTATGACAAAAATAACCATTTAAGATGATTTAGACAATTAGAATATTAACCTAATTTTCTTTTTACTCCTCACACTTGTTTTGTTCAGCCTACATCATGAAACAGACTGGGCTGTTTAATGTGTCCCACATTTTTCATTCACCCTGTCATTATCCCATGTTCAAGTGGTTCTCCTGGGTGTTGTGTTTCCAGAGTTTCACAGGATTGTATATTCATTTCTATGGCTCACACTTCTGTTGCTCACAGTGCTCACATGAGCACATCCACAGAACAGTCAGCAACAGATTCACGGTGATGATAGGGGATGCTCAGAGAAGAGTATGTGAAGTGCCAGGATATATTTTCTTGCTTCTATTGGGAAGTCCAACAGTCTTTGGGGCTATTTATACTTTTGGCTATCACAACCTCCTGCGGCAATGAATTCCACAATTGATATTGACTGCATTAAGCTCTACGGGTGCTTTTTCTGTTCCTTCATCAGAAGGAAGGGTTCCTGCTGCTCTACTATCATACTGCACAGTATTAGTCCTAAAATTCATCTAGAACAAGGAGTGCTGGATGGATTGCTTAGTGAATGGCACTATGAGACATCTTATACCCTCCCTAGTGAAATTCATTAGGGTCAAAACTGAAGTGCAGGCCATCTGTCGCTACCTTTATAGGATAGGGAACACTCAGTGAGCAGAGGTGACACAGTTATGCCAGGTAAACTGACAATTTTATCACTAAACCTATTCTAAGCACATTTTTTCAGTAATACGGTTCATGGGATCTGATACAACGATGGTTTAAACCTGAAACATTTCTGACAACAACATTTTCACACATAGGTAATTTTTCTAAAATGAGAAGTACTGTATAGCCCCAGCTAGATGAACTGAGTGGTTTTACGACAGAACCTTGCAGCAAAAGTTTCTGGCCTTGATTTAACTGTGAGCAAAAGAAGATGCAAGTCTGTTCAAAGGGCTTTATCATATGATCTCAGCCTGTTTTGATGATTTTTTTCTCCCCAGAGGGCATCAGCAGTTTTGCAAGAACAGCCTGGTCTCCTGGTCATAGTCTGAAGGGCACTAAAATGTGTCTGTCTCATTCCAGCTTAGAGTTCTTACCTTTGTAGTCCATAATTTGACCGTCCAGTCGAACGATGATGTGACAAAGAGATGGGAAAAGTCAATTGGACCCACTGCCATGTGACAATTGATTCCCGTGACAGGTCCCTGGTGGCCTTCAAAAATTTCACCAATGCCAGCTTTACTGCAGGAAGAAGAGATATCTACATTCAGAGATTTTGATTTAGCACCAGACATATTTCTTTATGCTTAGATTTCTGTTTCCCCCTAAATTTCCATTTAATTGGTAGTGTTCTCTTCTTTCACTAAGGTCTTTTCTGAAAAGGCATTCTACTATGTACAAGTAATACTGAGGATCGAACATGTGGAGACATTCTCTTCCTTCTGAAGACGTGCATTACTGTCTCTTACATGACAGTGTCTACCTCTATGGCTTGAAACAATGGTAATGAATAATTATAAAATAATTATAATTACATTATAGCTTATAGATCTGAGTAAGTCTTTTATCACACAGAATAAAAAAGTGAATATGTCAATGATTTGTCATTAACAACTTCTTTTCCTCTTAAATACCTAAAATAAATTTCCACAGCAGTCAGCCAAATCACCAGGAATCAAAAACCTTTTCACCAAATGTGAAGGAACTATTCACATGATCAGGTATCCTACAGTCATTAGAGAAGATTCCCTTAGCAAGAACCTAGAATAGTTATTAGGAAGGAAAAACACAATGCAGTGTAAGAGCGCCTGCATGCAGAGCTTTGTTCTTCTGTAAGCAAGGGGTGCCAAATCAGTTACCACTGCTTCTGTATAAGGAAAGGGGAATGATGAAATTACCCTTTTAGTTAAACTTAAGGCTTGAATTCTGCTACCATGTTCTCTGCATTTTGGCCCAAAAATCTTGGTGCAAAACACACCTCTTCTTTCATCCCCATCTTTTCGTTTTGCCATTCAGTCAGCAGGGTATGAGAAGTTCCAGTGCCTGAGGAGGAACACCTTCCACGTCTCTTAGGTTTTGACACAGCTTTCACCCCACAAAAAAGCATCTTGACTTTCTGCTACGCGAGGCTGAAGCACACAGAGCCTCTCAAAACAAAATGGGATGATACCTCAAAGCTCTGGGGGAGAAAGGCAGCAGCGGGAAAGGTGTATATTCTTCAAGGAGAGGGCTTGCTAAAAAGGTGGGAGAACAAGAGGATCTGACAACTTCCTTCTCTTGTGAGGGACAAGCCAGGCATGTTTGAAAGATTAAACGTGAGAAAAGCCCTTGGGCATGTTTCACTTATCCTAGCAGCCTAAGACTAATTCAAACCACCAGTCACCATACAACCTATCAGTATAATGCCTAAAAAGACACAGTATTGAAATGATGTTAGCAATCAATCAGGCTAAAATGAAAATATTTTAAATAAGAGTATTTTAAAAAATATAGGTAAAGCTGTACCTGCACAGTATTAGGAATGTGTAATAGAAGCCTTGCAATCTTAAACAGTGTAGCAGTGTCTACTTTTTTATTACAAACAAGAAATGTGATAAAATACTAATTTAGAGCGTATGGAAAACTAGTGAAGTGTAGGGGCAAAATTTAAACCTACCAGTGGAATGTGGAGGGATTTTTTTCTTTAGAAAAGGTGTTTGAGCAACCTGGAGGATGAAACTACTAACAGAAGCTAACAGAGCACAAAAGCATCCTGCAGCTCATTTTAATAAACTGGAGGAACCGATCTTCAAAGTGGCCTGTGGTGAGAGTTGCTTCTTGCAACTTCTTGCTCTTGCTTCTAACTGCATCCTGAAAGAGTTTACAGGGTGCAAAATAAAGGACTGGTTTAAATTATAGAAGTGGATTTGCACCTTCCTCACCTTAGAAGCAGAAAGAAGATAGTGCTGTGTTCCAGCACTCAGGCCCTATTCATTGAGACAGCCATGCTCATTAAGAGACATGTTATGGAATTTATGGAAAAAAAAAGCAATTTGGCTATCGTTGTAAATGATATTAGAAAATACTCTACTAGACTAAGCTTTTCCCAGGTCACTTTATCAAGATTTACATTAATGGCCTGTCCAGACTACTCGGACACAGTATCTATAGAAATCTAGGGCAGAGGGGCAGAATATTGCAAAGTCAGGCCCTGGCTGAACAATGCTGATATAAAACTTACAGTGATGCACTGAGAAAAATGATCTTAGCAGCCTGGGGTGGCCTAGCTAGAAGAGGCAGACAAACAAGACAGGGTGCATTCACAGTTAAGGGCAGAAGAAGAGCCATTCGGTGGTGCAGGGCTGTCGTCAGAGCCCTGTGTGTCACAGTCAGCAGCACACCTGAAGTGTGATGCACTCGCAGGAATGGTTAGAGTGAAAGTCTGTGCTCCATCCTCACTGCTGGCCTCGGCTCTGGCCTCTGCACACAGAGTATCTCAGAGCTGGTATGTTTTTCCCTGTCTTGCCTGTGCCACGAAGAGGTTTTGGGGGCAAGGAAGGAACTTTGACCTTTTTTTTAATACAATATTAAACTGCAGTCTGGGCATCCAATTGAGCAACAAAGAAATGTAAATACACTGTGTAAGAGAACACAAGGTACAGTCCTGGGAGAGGGTCGACCCAAGTCAACACATCTTCTTGGCACACTACAGCTATGTCTATAGTAACTAATGAAACAGGCGGCAGCCCAGAGTGGGGCCTTGAGGCCAAACGGTATCGATTTTTTTTTTTTGTCTGTACAGCACAAAAGCTCTTGACCTCCAAAAGAGGGTGACCACATCCAAACTGCCCCTGAGAAGAGCCCCCAGCACTGCCAGCCTGCTAGTGCAGCTGCCCATAGGAGCGGGTGGCAGTGCTAGGCAGTCTGCACTAGGCTGCACTGGGATGCCCCTGCGTCTGGACTCACGTGCTCTGCTTCTCACAAGCAGACGTGTCCGTGATTGCTTTTCTCTACTCCATATATGCCTGTGGAGACTGAAGATGAAGCGAGGATGGTAAAAACTAAGAAGGTGGATTACCATCTCTTACAAGTGGTTTAGGCCTGATTATCCTTCAACAACACTGTCTCCTAGGACCTGATGCAGCCTGCCCAGACATAGACATCTGCATTTGAGCTAGCTGTCTAGACTTCCGTTATAATCACTGGTGAGAAAGAGCCATTTCTGAAGTGCCAATCATCTCATCTTCAAACAGACGCCTGAAAAAGGTCAGAGAAATCCCCAAAGTAGTTATTGCTCCCCACTGACTACACAGAAAGTCCAGGGCAACTAGCCCAGTATAAATGGCTATAAGCAATTCCCATCCTCGTCATGTGAAACAGAACAGCACTGATACTGTTGATCCAAGAGAAAAAAATTAAACATTCCCCACACATACTTGGCTACCTCACACTCTCACTGACACAGAAGCACAATGTTATTTAAGTACAAAATACTGAATATCACCTTCCATGACGACAAGCTGTGTAGACTGTGCCCTCTTCGCTGCCAACCACAAAGTTATTGACATCTCCAGTTGGGAAAGCCATTCCTGTAACCGCCACTGGTTTGGATTTATTGAACATCAGCTCCATGCTCTCCTACCAAAACAGGCCTTAGTTATTATTCTGCAGTTTTGTTGAGTTTGTTTTTGCTAATTCGTTTCTAAATATTATACAGGCTAGCAGGAGGTAGAGGAAGAAGAAATCATTTGACCCAGTCACCGAATTTCAGTTTCTCTATGGGCTATTGCAAGAAGATGCAATGTCATAAATTAGGATGCACAGCTCCTGCCACCCCTGCTGCTGTCTCACACGTTTCAGAGTGGCTGCAATGCATTGGTCTGTGCTACATAATCTTAAATCAGGCAGAGATGACAGGTAAGAATTTAAAAACTAATGGTGCAGAAAGTAAAGATAATACCTTAATGGCTACACTTGCCAGCCCAAGGCTCTAATAAAATACACAATACCTTCTATTTACAAACATTTTTGAAATCAATTGTTTGCCAGGAAATACACATAATATCATATGCACCTGAGGCATTTATCAGACAGTGCCATTTGTCCGTCTATAAACTTGGGTTAGTGTCACTGTCATCATTCTAAACACTGTTTTTTCAGGGTGTTTCTGAAGCCATAAACATTCTCGATGGAGTCCACCATGACTCCAAGCCAGCAAGCATATTTTCTTTTTATTTTGTAGATGTAGTTCCAAGCAAATCAGCATGGCCATTTTTGCTATCGCAAGTATGACCAGCATGTCAGTTTTTAACTCTTCCCTAACACAGGTGCTTTGAGCGCGTCTTTCCCATCCTTAAACTTCTGATTCTGCAGCTTAAATGATGTAACCCAAGAATCCACAAAAGGGCTGAATGATTTAGCAACTTTATTTTTTGCCTATTTAAGTGGGCATGCTTTGTGTGTTTAAAATAGCTAAGCTGCTAGTCTTCTAGGGTCAGAGCCTTAGCATTGATTTTCAGAAGGGGTTTTGGTGTGGCTAAAGAAAGTGGGAAGGCCTGTGGGAGATGAAAGCTGCAAATCCACGAGGAAATACTGTTGCTTGATTTATACTTCTCTTTGAAATACATTTAGTTCTACTAAAAAGGCAAAATAAAGCCCGGTAAATGATTTGGCAGAGCACCTGTGGCCCGTATATTTCGGTGAAAATGTTCTGGAATTAGGTCATCCTTTAGTGTCTCCATGGAGGCACAGCCAGATGTTGCAGTGGGCTCTCTCCTCCTGGTGCATATGCCGTGGCCACATACCCTGGATCCGTGTCTTGGGAAAGTTTCAGACTGACATAAACCCTACAACACTGCCTCCTCCCAGTTCAAAGGTAGGGCATGCAGCTTGACTTCAAATCTAATGCCTTTCTTTGCAAGAGTGCCACAAATCATGCACTGACTTTTCAGTGTAATAAGGTGTTGACTTGTTAAAGAGCCATCTGAGTAGTGAAGTCCTGGAATGGAGATTTTCACAAATCTCTGCTCAAAATGTTGTATAGTGGTAAGAAAATGTATAAAAGTAGCATTTGTCTAATCTCTATTCAGGCGAGAAATTGGAGAAGAGATTCGGGTGCCTAAAAATAGATATCTGGGACATTTTAGATGCCTCTTCTTCTATTCCAGAATACTGATTTCCCATGATCCCATGACGCAACTACCAGACTCATGCTGCTGTCTCAAATTAGCAAGAGCAGCACGATCTGTTTGAAGTTGGCCTCATTCTGAACGGGCTTGGACTGGATGAGTTCCAGAGGTCACTTCCACTCTATGATTTGACAATTCCACACTGTGTGTTGTCTGCAATCGTATTTCACATTTGGATGGGCTAAATTGTCCTTGTTTCTGAGAGTGCCCAGTCTCTCAGCAGAATATCTACAAAGGCAACTCTAATGCCTTAGATTTGGCACAGAGCTAACTTAGATGGCAAAGTTAGGAGAGCAGAGTCCCACCACTCATGTCAACACTGAAAAACATATAACATGATAGTAATTGCATCCGTGATTAATGGATGGTTAATAGAATCACTAAAAGGAGTTTCTACTAACCATTTTGAAACAAGATCAGATCTTACAATGTTTAATGAAAATGATCATAAAACATAGTTTCATTATAAGAAATGATCAATGAAAAATGAATGATAGATTGGAACAGAAAATGTACTGCTCCAAAAGATAACACTTAAAAGATATTCTCCATAGATCCCTTTCAGCATCAGATTCCTTGTTTACTTTCCATTATTAGAATCATTAGTGGTTTGGGCACCTTCCCTGATTTTCCTTCCATTTCTAATGCAAAAGAGAAGCGGGCGGAGGGGAAGAAAATACCAAAAAACATTCCTGAGGGGGGGAAATAGTTCTAAAACTGTAGATTTGCATTGTGTGTCCCTTTGGCTACTGAGAGCAGACAACCAGGTAGCTTTCTGCCGGTGTGCCTCGGAAACCTCGTTGTGCGCAGGGTGTGTTCAGCAGCAGCGCGCTCTAGTCCGTGTTTGTTAAACAATGCTGCAGAGTAAGTACAATTTATACCACGGGCGACTTCTGTAATTACTGTGCTTTAAAATGGATTATTTCATTTTCACTTGAAACTGACCTGTGTATTAACGTATTACAATAATTACATGATTTGTGGTGAAGGAAATGGGTTTTGGCTCTTAGCAGAGACTGCTGGGAGCAAGCTGTACTCTTTCAAGTGCATCCATTGGTTTTAGTTTGTATAGGACGTGAGGTTTTGGCTTTTAGGAACTGTGTTCCATTAAGCTGGTATCTAGCTTTAACCAAGGTGTTTTTTTCCCTCTATAGGTGAAAACAAACCCACCTGTGGAGTTGAGAGCATATCCAGGCTCCAGGAGCACATTTTGCCGTCCGTAGAGACGGTGATGAGGTTGTGCGCGTTCTGTGTTCCAACGACGTTGACACAATACACAGGATGCTGGAAACACATTAGCACTCAAAATAAGGGACCCATTCTCACATCTTCAAAAACAAATTTCTAAGGTCTCATACGGTATCTTAAATAATGATTAAATAGACACATAATACCAGGAAAATTCAGGACACAGCTTTTGCCAGACAGGAACTAAATTTGCCTTTTTTATTTAAAATTTTAAAAGCATATTTTAGAGGTTGTAATGTTTTCAAAGCTTCATTCTCCTCATCATAAAACAACTCAGCTGAGTAATGCTGTGAAAACACTGAAATAATGTGGATGAGATTTTATCCGCAGGGACATGCATCATTCTGTTGATGGATTTTGACACTGAAAATAAGTGGCAGAAAGAAGCAAATTGTCCAAATGGATTCAAAATGATAACTTTATTCAACAAAACAGCTGTGTAAAACCTGGACTTTGCCAGAATCTAGCTTTCATGCCTTGCCTAGCTTTCAATACTTGCAAATGTACTCTGATAGAAAAATGTGAACAAGTCTCTTGACCTTCTCCATCACTGACCCATATACTTTTTTAGATCTACTGGTAAAAATGTGGAGTGATTAATTTGTTTATGGTGTTACATCTGGTTCACAATGGTAGGTAGCACTGGTTCATGGAGGCTGAATTCCTTTTAGCATACAATAATGGTACTTGCTGTCTTCATTTTTCAAGGACCTGGTGATAATTTGAGTCTAAAGTGTCAACTGACATCTGATGGTGACTGGGGATTAGGGAGGATTAGGTGCTGGTTCAAGATCAGCAATCTCCCGGGAGGAAAATCAGTCAGACTGAGCATTGAGATTTAGCATCCTCTGACCATTACAGGTGATCCTCCTGAACAAAGGATAAGATGCATAGAAAGCAGCCCAAGCAAAACTGCCATTCGCTGCCTCTTCTGCAAATGAATAGAAGACGTGTGTCTCCAGGAAGACAAAATGCTTACCAGGAATACTTTAAAAAAGAATTAGGACCAATTTCATAAGAGATTCCTTCTGCACTAGCTGCATTTAGGTTTAGAAATGTAGCATTTGATCCTACCAAAAGAAATGGCACAGCCACCATATATTTTAGACTGCCTATCTAGACAGCTATCTAGGCAATAGTGAAAAGCAGATCTTCAGAGGCAGATTAGTTACCTTGGTAGATGCCAAAGTGGGCTTGGTAAACACCTCCATCTCTAAGCATGAAGCCTGAAGCACCCGAATACTGGGGAGCACACACTGAAGGAGGACGCAGTAGGATTTGCTGCCAAAAATGTACCTGGTGCTTGGAGACCGCCTGCATGCACCAAACAGTGCTAAATCACAAAGTCTATTCTGACCCTCATTTCTGTCTCTCAGGATTGGCACTTGATATTGGTTCATGAAATGAATATTAGACCATACACTGGATCCAAATCTGTGTCTCTGATGTGGCTCATGGTGTCAGCACCAAGATGGACCTTTACGTGCTCCATTGTAGTGCGCTAGTTACCACAGTGCTAAAAATGGTTAACTCCGTGTGATGGCCAAAACAAACACAGCCCTAATTTTTAATGGCTGTTAGTCCTCCAGGAGACCAAAGTGCCTGGCATACTGAGAATGGGAGGAAACTAAAATAAGCCATGGAACGACCAGGATATTTAGGGGGAAGGGAGGAGAGAGCCATGTTGCTCCAGCAGCACCTCCCTGTGCCTGGTCTGGCCTTAATTGGCATTGCCGGTCATCAATTTCATGCATAATAAAACTCATGGCAGAAATGAAAAGATATAAGGCAAATGGATGAAAAAGACAACCAACTGTATGCAACAGAAAGCCTAAACAGGCGCCTTCCTTTCAAAGGCTTGCTGCCAGCTTGCTTTTATTTGTTTTGGAAATGAAATCATCATGCAAAAGGGTTTTGTCTTAATTAAAATTTCCTGTTGTCCCAAGTGCAGATGTGTGGTGGGTGTGAAAGGAAATTAGTGAGTAAGCTGCGGGTAGAATTCTCTTTCCTGGTGAATCCAAGCAGCAATCAGCGAGGCTAAATTTAAGGAAGGTTTATATCAGTGATAACAACACACTGTGTGTTTCAGATAACTAAAATAAGAAAAAGAGAAAAATCTTTTTTTTTTTAAATATGGCCTAGGTGCAGCTTAAAAAAAAACACTATTCAAACCATTTATCAGTACACAAAGTAACAACCGCATCACTCATCCCAATTTAATCATCCTAATTTAATCCTTTTTTTTCTTTTTCTTGGCAGCTAGGGTTCAAGTCAGCTTTCTGCAACCAACACTTCATTTAAAGTTCATGTAATTCCTATATGTGAACAGAAAGCAAACACTGTTTCATTGCAAAATGTGATTACTCCTTGAAAACAGCATCCTTCTTCGTGTTAGGGTTCATGTTAGGGTTGGTAAACACTTGTTTAAACCAACTCATGACAGTATGTAAAGTCCACATCCACAACTAACTGAAAGTCATTTATTTATATTTGTCAAAAGCAAAGCATCACATATTTTTCTATTGCAATAATAAAACTAGTTTAATGTATAATTCCAGGAGGTCCAGTTTTGTCTTGTACATTTTTCTGAGTCTAAACAAATTTCTTCCCATTAATCTCTTCTTTTCCGCTAGATTTTTGGATCCCAGTTGCTCAATTTTCAGTGACAGTCAGTTTCTTGCCACTAGTTTTCTGGTCTACTACATCTCTAAATTGCACTTGCAGGAGAGAGTGTTTCCTTTCATGCAGGTTGAACAACATTAGCTCAGATACTGGCAAGAAAATGAGCAAAAACATTAGGGAAATGAAAAGTAATGTTGAATTTGCAACCCATGGCACAGATCATTAGATTATTGCATCAACATTCATGATAGTGGAAATTTAGGGAACAATATTTGCACTGCCTGGCCCACTAAGAGTGTCTGTGCACACCTGTCATTTTTTAATATAAGATGCATGCCATCGTAATGCTGGCCCCAGACTGAATCCTTTGCATTAATTCATGTGACATGGCTTTTAGACGTTGTCTCTTAACTGTGGGGATTATGCTGTCACAGTCAACTAAAAGCTGAACCTTGATCTGCAAATTGCAAAGATAAGAATCACAGAACTGTAAAAGCTGGAGATGCAAAAGATCTACTACTTTGTCTAATCCTTCTCTCTGCTAGAACAAGATTATTTTCTTATCTCTCTGAGTGCTTTGTGTACCTCAGTTTCTTACGTTTCAGGAAGTATTCTACAAGTTTCCATATTCTTATATCACATCATTACATTTTCCTCCTCCTTTCAGCCTATATTTTCTATTCCACTTCCTATTCCAGTATTCCAAGTGGGACTCTGGCTACAACTCCAAGAACAAGTCTGGATGGCCCCAAGCCCAGTGCCAAGCTCAGGTATGTTCATCACGCACAGAATAAAGCTGCCTGCTCCCATGAAGAGTGTGCCTGAGCCCAGGCACAGTGCCACTGAGGTGGCACATAGGTACAAACCTCATTCAGGTTTTGTAACCGCTTCTGTCCTCTTCAAAAGGATGACTTCCTCATGACCTGAGGTTCCATACCAAGTGTGCTGGTTAAATACTTAAAATAGATGGTCCTATTTCTTTCTCCACGAGGACCATACATAACATTTGCACGAGTGTGACATCCAGCATCATAGGCACATCTAGGGAGCTCCACTTCCCTGCCGACCATTTCCTCTCAACAAAGGCTGAGGTGACGTTTAACCTTACCGTGTGAGCAGCTGCAGACAAGGGAGTTCGCTGAACTGGAGTCCGCCTGTGACTGCGATTATCCCACAAGACAATCTGGCCAGAGTATGTGCCACCAACAACCAGGTTTGGGTGAAAGCGGGCAAAACAGACGGACATCACAGAGGACTAGAGGGTAGAGAAGGAGAGAGGGTTACATGGTCAGTCACCTTCAATTCTCCTCCTTAAAGAAATGCCAATTTGATTTAGCAATCACATTTCCTTGCGCAACAGGTAACTTCTACAAAAGCCATCAGAGCATATGCAAAGAGCTACTTTGAGACTAAAATGTTCAGTCTCATTCGTTTAGGAGAATATATGGACTGAGTGTTAGCATGGTGCTAAAACCCTGAGACACTCTGTCCATGACAGTGATGGGAAAGTGCTTCCTTTCCTTTCCAGAAAATGCTGAAGTAACCAGATGCCAACCAGACAGAGAGACTCCTGTCCCAGGGTTTTCTCACAGGGAAAGCTCTTCCCTTATTGCTCCCACTGGGTATTAACTCTTAAACAATTTGGGATGAGTTTGTGAGGTACCCTCGAGAGTGCACCTCAGGGTGGACTGCCTTGAGAGCATTGGCTCAAGAGCAGGATCTTGTATCAGTGACTGGTTTCTCTGTTACAGATGGGTCCTCGTCTAATCGCAGAGGCAATTACATATGTGTAGGTGTAAGCGTAAGCACTGTTTGAGCAGAAACAAGTTTCCTCATCTGAGTGACAGCTGGTTGCCTCTGTACATTTTCTTTCACTGGGGATGCTGAGGAGCCAGGCCGGTGTAGCAGTTGCCCTGGCCATCTGATAAAGTGCCCCACAAGCCTGAATGGAGATGTATATCTATCTCAGCTACCTCCTTCCAATCTCTTTAAAATAACATACAACCTCTGAAATCCTCAAGGGAATACTCCCCAGAATCTGCATGTGCCAAAAAGCTACAGCCAAGAGCAACAAGCTGTAACTCCCTCAAGTCCTCCATTCACTTTTTAAGGAACTGTTCTCCATTTTTTATAATTGGTCCTGGATGCTTCACCTCTCTTTCATGCAAATTGGAAACTAAAAGTTACAGCATTCGTATAATTTCCTGAGAATTCACATGCTAATATAGGCATACTCTGCAAACAAAAGCAAATGTAATTTTTCCATGGGCATCTTTAGTAGTGCTTACGAACCACAGACTTTAACTGCTGTGTCAATTACAGTCACAATGTTCAATTCACAGTTAGTGGTCATATTCTGATTCTGCAACAAGTTTGGGAATAAATCTTTGTTATAGTTTAATGAGAAGATACTTTGAAGTGCTGATATGAAATGGTGATATCCTGAAATGACAGACCATTTTATTCAGTGACCAAATGGTAGCCAAATTATTAAATTTCAGTTTCACAAATAGCATTGCAGATATTTAAGTAATCTTTCCTGAACTGGAAACAGAGGAGCTGCCAAACTGAACGTGTCATCCAGCTGAGGATTCTGTCCCTGGAAGGGGTAGATCACAAATGTCTAGTCTTCTCTCATCAGTATGCATCATGCTGATGTGTCTAGAGACAGGTTTGAACTCTTAAACCGGATACTAAATAGCTTTTTAAACAGAGGTAGAATTAATTGTGCTAACTCCTTATCTCTGTTATTGGGATTAAAAAGAATGAACAAAAATGTTCAGCTTCTATTGAATTCATGTGGTTGTCTGATATTTATTGTTCAAAGACAGATAATAAGTGAACAAACATAAGTGAACAAAAATAAGTGAAAAGTACTTCTAGCATACAGAAATATATTCAATCATATATTTTTACCTAGTAAGATCAGCTAAGGAAATAATTTGTCACTTTCTTCACCGTTCTCTCTGAGTTCTCATGGGTGTTCACTTGACATGTTTGATCCCTTCTCTACTAAAGCTTTCTATATGTTTCTCTGATGTTACATGGTCTACTATCTAGTGTCTAGACCCTTAGAATATATAAATGTCTGCTTTAATCTGTATCGGTCTTTGCATTTGAGCATAATAATTGCACTATAGCCAGATGTAGAAAAAAATACAGGTTTTAAGCACCACTTCCAAAGGACTTACTAACATTATATATAAGAAAAAAGTCACTTCTCAGTAACAGTGCCTCAGTACTGCTAAAAGGCATTTAAAATTCAGCTACATATCAGTTGCCATACGGTTTCCACAGACTCCCCCATATATTATAATTAAAATGACCCTGCAGCACATGTTCTACATTTTATCTCTTTGCTTAATGGCTTCATGAGTTGTTTTAATCAACCTCTCTCATTCTTTATAACTAACATGACAGATATTCTTACATGAAGTGAAATAGCCAGATGATTTTAAAATAGTACAGCTACACCGCTATGTACACCCCACAGCAGCTACAAGGCTCCACATATATTTTAAGAAACCCAAATTCAAACACTCATTCCACAACAAAGTTCTCAGTTTTTCTGAAACAAACTTGGGAGACTCTAAAGCAGGGCAAAAAACAACTGGACAGTGTATTTTTAAATGTTGTGTTTTCATGGTTAGAATGTTTTTGAATTCAGAATCCCAGAATACAGTTGAATGGTCAACACATAAACTGCTAAAGTGTATTTTTCATGAAGCTCAAAAATAACCTACAGGCATGACACATGCCCCCTGCGCTACTTCTAGTTTTACATAGCGTGCCAAAGTAATTCATATTCTTTAGCTGATGAAATGTTCACATCCTTTTAATTATGTCAATATTGTTTTTCTACTGAAGGAAAACTTCTGTCAAATATTAGAATTTAACAGTTTAAGGACTCCACTCCATAGCACTTAATAAAGTGATTATTTTTTTAGAGTTAATGGCAGTGCTCAGATGAGTAAGGGCTGTAAGATCCAGCTCATTCATTTAACAACTTTAAAAGCACTCGTTTCTTAGCCTTAATAGGAGAGAGCAGCAGACAGGTCTCCAGTCTGTCTAAACAGCTCTGTGCTCAAGGAGAGCATCAGAAGCCATTCCCAGCACCATAAGCCTTTTTTTGCCTCCAGGCTGCATCTTGTTTGCAAATTGAAGCAATCTATCTCCCCTAAAACTGAGTTTTGACACTGACTTCAGAGAGGGAAGAACCAGCATATGGTGAGGTTTCAAAATAACAGTGTATCCTCCTTTGCACCTCAACCACACCTTTCTGGTGCAATCCCACAGCACTTTCTAATACTGAAACAGTAAAGCTTCCCAGCTTTTCAATTAGGTAAATTTTACCTGCTGTAGCTGCTTAGTTACTTCACGCAAGCCAAGGAAAGAGGAAGGTACTTTCCTAGCATATGGAAACACCACAGAAGGCAGCTTAAGAAGGATAATGTCAGAAGGAGTTTCCCGAAGGAGTGTGAGTGTCCATGGTACAATAGCAGCCTTTTGAACATGGGGTTAGCAAATTTATCTTTTCATTGGGACAACACAACATCTGTGTGTACAAGTTGTCCGGACCCTCAACAGCCGAGGGATCTCCAGTATTTGGTCACTTTCATTCTTCTGAATCTGTCGGGACAATGAATAACTTAACTGGTTGTCTTAATGCTCTGGTGTTTTCCCTCTAAGCAAATACACAGCATACAGATTTAACTTTCTCCGGCTCTCTTTGGCTTTCTCAGTGGCCTTTGTGATCTTCCACTCAGTCTTTTTGTTCCCTTATCTTTGTGACTACTTCCTGGAGGGCCCTGTCATCCTGACACTGCTGCCACAGCTCTTGGGCAGGTCCCTTCATCCCAGAGGTGAGCAGCTCAAATGACCAGAGGAGCAAATCCAAATTAGCTCAAAGTATGCCCCAGCTGAGTGGCAGGGTCAGCTTGGGCTCATAAATCTGAGATTTTTATCTGACAAACTGGTGCTCATGCTCCACAAGTGCTAAAACTTCTGCTCCTAGCTATAACATCAGGAACACCTTTGAACGCATAATTTAAGAAGAAAAATACAATGGCTGTGCTCTTGGCATAGCAAAGAGAGGGCTGGTCTCAGAGAAATAGATGTCGCTCTCCCCTTCAGAGGCCTACAAGCCAAGGGAATGAGACATCCCACCCCAGTGCCCCATTTTGACAGTTGTCAGCTTGTTTCACCCTGTACGTAGAGAACTGCTACAGAGACAACACTGGTGGGGACTTTGTTTCACAGCCTTCGCCTCCTCCCTCCGCACTGATGCACTCAATCCAAACAGGCCCCAAACTCTCTTCAAGTGGCTGGCAGAGCTGTTTTTTATTTTAGAAGCTTAATCCAGCCCAGATTTGTATTAATGATGGCATATCCCTCTAACCACAGATACACATGCGCAGGACAGGCAGCCATTTAGATTTTTCTTTGGGCAAAGCCTGACCTCAGTACCCACATCTGATGCGCGCAAGGCCCCAGAGATTCGCCTGCCTGCGCTCATGTCCGTAGCTCCGAATGGCACTCTGCCCAGCCACCGGCTGAACAAGTTCACAAAGACCTGGGTGCTCAACAATAATGACTTTAAGTAGGCAATGACTACTGCGCGCAGTGTGATCCCTCGCTCAGGAAACCACCCCCACAGGCAGCGCTGTCATACTGGTGCCATATGCCTACGCTTGACACCAGATGGATCTCCAAACAATACTTCAGCAGTGGGAAGAAGGGATCTGAAGAGTTCACAGGCATTTCTAGACTCCTGAATACCAGGTTATATTGCAGCAGGCAATACTCAGGATACTCCTGGCTAGATTTTCTAGCTGAGCAAACACATGTGAAAAAGTCCTGTACTCTCTGTCATGCTATAATAGGTCAGTCTACCACAAACAGCAATAGAACTTGGGCTGAACCGATGCCTACTTACTCTGGTCCTTCTGAGGAACAAATACCTGATGACAAAATCCCCAAATATCATTTGCTCCTAATTGTATGCTCTCACTACTGTTTATCAGGAACAGCATTTAAGACTCTAAGGGCTCACAGACCCTGTAAGAGATGCCATGACTTCTTCTGTCCAAGAAATCAGGAGACCCTCGCCTCAAACTTGCATTGCTGCACACACTTGTATGTGGCCCCAGAACAGATACTCATGATATTTTGGAGAGGTGGGCTAAAATTGTCATCTAGAAACAAAATATCAATGGTGACACTAAATAAAATTCTTTCTTCTGGTCAGCCAATGGA